CGTCAGCGGTCAACGGAACAGTCCAGGTCAACCCTGACTAGTGGGTCCCGTGTGTCAGTGTAATTAGTTAAACTAGATATCAATTAAAACTAATCCTGATTGGTTAACAGGGCTGGGCCCCACCTGTCATTGACCCAGGGGGGTCAACTAGGCCCACCCGTGGTCAAACGAGGGGTCAGCGGGGTCAACTCACCGGCGTTTAGCCGCCGGCGAGGCCGAACGCGGCGGCGAGGTGCTTTTGTGTGTTCCGGCGACTAAATGAGCGGCGGAGGGCATCTACGGGTAGCTGGGAGCAAGCCGCAGCTCTTGGTGGTGGTGGTTGAGCTCGAGGTGGCTGGAAACATCGCCGGCGACGACTTTGGCGGTCGCCGGAGTTCCGGTGAGGTCGAACTCGATGCTAGGGGGCACGGCGGGGCGCGTGGAGTGGTGCTACGGGTTCCTGCGGGTGCGGTGAGTGCATTGGACACGATGGTGTGGCCGGTGGTTGGCCGGAGACACGTCGGCGACGAGCTCGGCGGCGGTGCGTGCGGTGAAGCTTCGTGCGCTTGCTATGGTGCATGAGAACGAGAGAGGAAAGGGGGGAGAGGTAGCTGGGCTCACGGCGATCTCGAGGAACCAGACGGCATGGTCGGGGACGAGCTGGTGCGGCGGCGACGGCGAAGGGGATCTCCGATGACGGCGGAGTCGGCGAGGTCGGTGCAGTGGCTTCGGGGCACGCGAGCGCTCGGGGCTCGACTAGCTCGAAGGAGAGGAGGGCGGCGGAGCTCCTGGACACGGTGGCGCGGCGCGGGGACGACGGAGAGCGCGACTACGGCAACGGTGTGGCTGCGGTGGCGTCGGCCATGGCATGGGAGAGCGAGGAAGAGGAGCTGGGGGTGAATGGGTGTGTCCACGGGGAGCGGGGCTCGACGTGGAGCTCATCCAGGCCAGCAGCGAGGCGAGGGGGTGAAGCAGGACGGCGGGCAGCTGCGTGGCGCGCGCTGGTGTCGCCGTCGAGCACCTGCCTGCCTGCCTGGCGAAGGCAAGCAGCTCACTGGAGCGGCTGCTGGGCTGGGCCGGCAGGTGGGCTGGCTAGGCGGGCTGCCAGGTTAGTTCACTCTCTCTCTCTCTCTCTTATTTATCTTTTTTAATTATTCTATAACTTTGTGGACTTACTAAAAATACCTAAACAACTCCAAAATTCCCCAAACTGTTCATGGCCACTAATTGGAATATATACAGCATGGAACATTTTAGTTTGGAATTATTTAAGCATTTATAATAATTTATATAATTTAAATGCCCAAACTCAAATACTTATGATTTAATTCAAAAACCTTAAGATGACCTAGAAAATTGAGCACCACTTTTGACAGAGGTTCTGAACCAAGACAAAAATGATGGACATTTTAGAAAGGTATTTCAGGTTCATTGAAAATATTTTTAGTAAACCCTAGTTGGTTTCAGAGGGGGCTGGGGGTTCTGTCATCCCCATTTCAAGTTTCTGTTGAGAAAAATAGACATGATGCAACACTCTAATGCATGAAGTAGCTAGGGTGTGACAACTATCGTCATATACAAAGCTTCATGGAACTATCACAGGTAGTGCACAAGTACTGCGCAATGGAAAGCACATGGAAGGCCCAGAAAACTCAACTGGAGCCCGTTGCCTTCAAGCAGTGTGCGGCCCGGACTAAATGAATGCACCCTAGCGGCGCATCCGATCATTAGTCTGTCGGCAGAAAGAATAAATCCTTTACGAGACATAGGTCTGTTCTTGACGAACTCCTTGACAAGCCATGTCTGATACATGTGACGTCGAGCACAGACCCAACCCATAGCCTTCAAGCACGTTGGGTACTCCAACAGGTAGCAAAGAGTGGAGAGGCCATCCTCGCCACCATTACTCCAGAGAAATACTCCCTGGAGACGAACGATTTTAACGTGCTCATGGTCTTTGAGACCTTTTCTTCGAATAACCGGCGAAAAAGGGCACTCCGCGACCTCGCCGAAGTCCACCAAGTTATCACACTGAGCCCATGGAATGATGCGGCAATAACCTTCAACGCCAAAGACGAACCAAAGGCTCGGTCAGTCCGGGCACCCGCCGCCCTAGTCCTAAACCCCATTGTGGACGGCTTTCAGATTACCAAAGTGCTCATGGACGGCGGTAGTGGGCTTAATTAACCTCACCTATGAAGATACGCTTGACAAAATGCAGATTGAGAGAAAGGCATGCTGGATCTCTCAATCTTCGCCATGCTCAAAGCGCTCTTCGCCATGCTGGATACCGTCAAAACCAGAGCTCAAAGCGCTCTTCACCATGCTGGATCTCTCGGTCTCTGCATTGCTGGTGGCATCCCCTATGGCCATACCGAATACGGGTGGAGCACCTCACACCCCACCACCAATCGCGATGCAAGGCAACCTCAACGGGCAGTCAAGCCACGGTGTGATGCTTCTCACCCCGAGGGGGGGGAGGGCATCAGCGATTCTTGAGTTGCCAGCGGCAACCCCTATCATGGGTATGACCATTACTCCTTCTATGTTTCCTACTCCACTATCATCTCAAGTGCTAGACACCCTCAATCAGCCGCCATCCATGGCGTTCCCAATTATCACATGGAAAAACCAACAACTCCTGACGATGCTTTGTGAGCAGTACTTTTAGATGTTCTTCGTGCATAAATCATATACTGGGCTTCCATGATGATTGCCTCTAATGGTGACGAGTTGAGGGAGGCAAGGTAGTAGAAGCGGAGGGCGAAAGTCCATCACTAGAATTGTTTCATTTGAACTCTTCTAATGGCTATTTACCCACTTTATGCCTCCTTTGATTAGAATAAATTTTATAGGATTTTTGGAGGACTAGAATTCTAAGGAATTTTTCTACATTTGTCATTTGATTCGTAGGATTGGATCCTATTGTAATTTTTTCTAAGAAATCATTTGTACTACATTTCGTAGAAAATCTAGCATGTCCAACCTCTTTTTATAATTCACTCTATGCCATCAAACACACTCTGCTAACCCTATAACCTATATTTTTCCTATTCTTAAGTTTTGAGAATCCTCCAAATCAAAGAGACCCTAGTTTATTTTTCTTGCCAATGTTAACGGCAACTCCAACCAGCCGACGCGAAACGGATGCAGATTTTGTCTGCTTTTTGTATGTATAGGTCGGTGAGGCGGACGCACATGTCCCTTTGCGTCCCTGCGCTAGTAGGTGCGTCCAACTGGCCGGGCGCATTTCAAACAGTGCATCTAGAAAAACTTAAACTTAAACTTACAAACACATAAAAAAATATTAAACTTGAACTTAATTAAAATATATTACATTAATTCCAAAAGTCCCAGCCGTCCTCGCCGCCGTGCATTAAACTTAAACATAAAAAAACTTAAACTCAAGAAATACTTGGATCTTCTAGTCTCGGCTGTTGTCGCCATCCTAGTCATCGATTTCATCCATGGTGAGGTTGACGAAGGGCGGTGACTACCACAGGTAGGCGGGTGGCACCTGCTGTAGCTCCAGCAGTGCCTGACACGACGGGGACGATGACCACGTTGATGTAGGGCCGCTACCGCGGCGTAGCGGTCGGCGAGATTGAGAAGCTGGCCGTGTCCCTCCTCGGCGCTGACGAGCCAGGTGACAACCCGGCCTCCCGGTCGTACTTCCACACCATTGCGGCCGGCGGGCGGCGGCGCTGGCTAGGGTTTGTCGGGCTTGTGGGGAGTAGACAGAGAAGAAGATGTGTGTGGAAGTGGACTGGCCCCTCTAAACACGCCACTGTCTCCACAGCGGAAGTGCCTGTGCGGCCGACGCACGGGGCCGAAAGCGTTCATGGCATTTAATAGGACCGGAGTGGGTGGTTGGGCGACCGACACGCGGGCCTCATGTGGACACCGAAAGAACACACACACACACACACGACGCGTCCGTCTTGTATCAATGTGGACGCAAACCTAGCCCAAATATGCACCGAAAATGTGTTCATACAGATGCCAAGCAGACATCATTTGGAGATGCATCGGACGCGTTGGGCCGTCGTTTCTATTCACTTGTACCAAAGGAAGGTTGGAATTGGCCGAAATAACTCGTGCCAGTCAAATTAGTATTAGCTAGAGAGTGGCGTTTTGGTGACGGGCGTGAACAATAAATCGTAAAAGAATCAGTTTTTTTTTTATGCAAGATGTTCAGATGCGTAATACTCTGTGTCAAATTTAGTGAAGTTTTGGTATGGCAAACATCACTGTTCTTGTCTGAATTTGTCTTTTTTGCCGCGCGGTCGTCGAATGTCCAAAGTTCATCAAATTTTGCACGAACATCACATGCATGGACATCTTGCTTACAAAATGTAGTTCGGAATTATTTGATTTTCTATTTTTAATCTCTGTACTGTTCATTGACCTCGTCTGCGCCGGGGCACCGAAGGGGATTTTCGTATTAGCTAGGCCTGTAATAACCACACCTACCCGAAGTACACTCGAATCCTGGGGAAATGCGGTACAGCCCACACACTGCACCGCACTCTGCAGGCCATTTACGCCGACTGGACATTACGGTGAAGAGGGTGCCGCGTTCGGGGTTGCAAGCAAGTGACCGGTGGGTTGGACTGGATTGATGGCACGCGCGAGAACCGATGAACTTTACCACGCCATGCCGTGGTGGCGTGGTGGCAGGAGCAGAGCTAGCTAGGTAGCCCGTCCCGTCTTCTCGCCGAGCTTTCTTCTCTCCCAATCGTCGGCCAGAGGCAGGAGGGAGCCAAGTGTCCTTCGGCAGAGGCTTCATTTCACCCCTTCTCGTCTTCTCCGCTAAGATCCTATGCTCTCACAGAATCCCGGGGCTCCCGATTCTTTTTCCGCCGCTTGATCTAGCCAAGGTTTCCGTTCGCCGGGATCTCAGCCGGCCCAAGGTAAAGCCTCTCCCGGTCGAACTCACAACTCAGCAGCATTGACATCATCGTTTCGCACGTTTTGGCACTAAACTTCACTGCTAGTGATGCTTGCTTCCTTTGCTACGCATGTCGGGTGAGAAGATGGGCTGCCAAAGATGCAAGCGGAGGGATGAGCTCGACTACTGCAATCTGGATGACCGGGAGAAGCATTTCCTGATGTTTATGGTGGATGGCTGTGGTCGTGAGATGGTAAACCCCCTACTCATGTTCAGCTACAGTTGTTCTTGTTTATTTTCTGTCACCTTCTTGTGTCGAATGGCAAGCAACTAGTAGGTCGATTGCTTGATGCAGCACATACCCACATTCTTCTTCAGACATGCAGACTATGGATTTAATGTTTTCGTGCCAGAATAAGCATATCCCCAAGTTGGATCTGGTCCGTACTACTGTAGATCCAAGTTCCTAAGACTAAGAACACTGCACGTTGAAGTTATGATACTGCAAATAGGGTGTATAGTTACTTTTCAATTTTAGTAGCACGGAATACAAAGGGAAACGAGATCAACAGGGACTAGCCCCTGTGCTAATTTATGTATGGCAAATATTAATTTTGATCAAGATAATATATCTCCTGTGATGCCTTTCTGCTTCACCTGCTGTTCTGCAACATTGTTATTTAGCTAGATCGTATATTTTCAAACAGCTTCATGTGAGGTAATGAAATTAGAGCCTAAGTGGAATGGAGGGGATTCATCCCTAGGGGATTGGGTGACAAGCAGCGATCAACCCAATCCCCTAGTGGATTAGTTCCCCTACAACCAAACAAGGCCTTACCGGGATTTTACTTGGGAGTGAATGAAGATTTATAGTGTTCATTGTGTTTTTTATTTGTGTCAATGTGCCCTTTAATCATGGTCTGGTGGCTAGAACTGGCCTGGAGACTGTCTTCTTTATAGGATCACTCAGTTAATGTTGAACTTGAATTTCCATTTAGCACTGTATTCAGAACATACTACTCTGTGGAAATTATTTTATGGCACCAGAAATGCCTCGTGCGAGTAGGCATTAACATGATAACAGACACTAAATGCCACACTGGTAGATGTACAGAAATTAAGCTAGCTCCTTTCTCCTGGTTTGTTTTCACATCAGATGTCAAATAGTATATTTTGCAATATATTCATACTTTGTATCCTCCTATGGTTTAAACCCTGTTTTCTTCATTGGTTCTTGTTTCTGCAGACCATCCCAGATGATTTTCTGAAACGATTCAGGGGTGAGATCCCAAAAGAGATCAAGCTAGAAACACGAAATGGTCATATTTACACTGTTGGAGTTGCCAAGTATCCAGATAAACTAGTCCTTAGAGCAGGATGGGAGACCTTCGTCGAAACCTATGATCTACGGATCGACGACTCTGTGGTATTTCGATACAATGGAAATTCGCAGTTCAATGTCATAGTGTTTGATCAATTTGGCCGTGAGAAAGCATCGTCCGTTGTTGTAGACAGTGCTCCTCTGTATCCTTATGTGCAGGAAAGGCAAAGAGGTGCTCCTGAAACTCATGGTCATTCTCAGCCCCATGAAATGCAATCTCCTACTGAAAATATGAATATTTCTCAAGGGCATCCTCAGCTCATGCGTGTGCAGCCGCATACTGATAACATGAGCCGTTCTCAAGGGCATGCTCATCATGTGCAAATGCAACTGCCTATTGACAATATGAGACGTTCTGAAGGGCATCCTCAGCCCATACAAATGCAACCGCCTAGTGCAAATGTGGACCATTTTGTTGATGATAGTCAGCACATGCAAATGCAGCCACCTAGTGCAAATGTGGACCATTTTGTTGATCATAGTCAGCACATGCAAATGCAGCCACCTACTGAGACTCTGAATCGTTCTAATTGCCATCCTCAGTCCCGGCAAATGCAGCTGACATGTGCTGAGAGACAGTCAAATCTTCAGAGGAATAAATTAAATCAGGGCAACAAGAGCGTGGCGAGTTCTTCAGGCACTCCCTCTCAGCCTCTAGTCCTTCATACAATTTGTGATTATAGAGATATAACTCCTTCTAAATCACAACTGCTGTTGTCATCTTTAATTGATATATTATTCAGTAATTGATCTCCTTTTGTGCACAGGTGGTTCTTTGTGCTCAGAAGATGGTACTAATTTATGTGATACATCTAGATACACGCTTGGGTGGAACACCCGTCTAGATCCAGTGCAGAAGGAGAAAGTTGACCAGGAGATCCAACATATCTCATCTGACAATCCAATCTTTGTGGCCATGATGAGCAAGTGCAATGTTACAGGAACTTTCACCCTAGTGAGTGTCGAATTTGCTGTTGAATACGCATTCTGCTAGAGTCTGCAGCAAGCCGTTTAAACTAAGATTTCTATTGAAAACAGTATTTTGCATATTTTAAATTGTTAAACCCGCCATGACTAAACTTACAAACCATATACTGTTTACTATGATAATGATCTTGGATTGAAATGTTATTCTGTTCTGCAGTTTGCTTGAATGCCATTATCTAACAATTTTACCCAAATCTGTAATTAGAGTGTGCCCAAAGAATATGTCAAGCGACATGTGGGAGATACGGAGCGCAACATATGTCTTCAGCGCCTTGGCAAGGGGTGGGAAGTGCAGTTTGGTGGTAGGCCTGAAGAGAAAAGGATTATATCTGGCTGGCGGAGGTTTGTAAAGGACAATGATGTTGAGATGGGTGATATCTGCATTTTTGAATTGTTGAAGAAATGTAAGATGTGCACGATGGAAGTCCATATCATCCATACAAAGGATATTGATACGCCTTCCAAAATTTGTCAGCAAAGGCACAGAGAGGTTGTTAAAATTATGGAACATTCTCATTCTCTCCCCCAGCTTAAGGAAATGCAACTGCATAATGAAACAGTGGAAGATACTATCGTTCATCCCGAGCCTGTGCAAATACAACTACCTTCGTTGGAAAGACGGATACAACTTCAAAGGGACAAGTCTAGTCAGGGCAGCAAGAGTACGATAATTCCTACTGCTAAGTCATCTGGTGGCAATTCATGCTACCAGATGGTACTGAGATACACTTTGTTTTGTTTTACAGATATATTAAGTATGTAATTGTTATCATTTTTTTGTGGTTTGTGCAGGAGATTCCTTGTCATCGGAAGATATTGATCATGAAGAAGGTGCTTTGTCTGATTGCATCCTTGCACGTTTTACGCGCCTTACTACAGATCAGAAGAAGGCAGTGAAAGAGAAGGTTCAATTTATTGATTCTGAAACTCCCATCTTTGTTGCCATGATGCAACAAACCAATGTTACTGGAAGATACACTCTAGTGAGTTCCAAACTTTATTCTTTAATGCTTGTTCCACTAGTGATATTGATCATGTATTTGTCTATCATGTGTTCTTTCTTGGATCATAAAGCTATTTAGAGTGCTTTATAATTATAACCTGGTCATGTGAGTTTACATATTTTTCCTAGGATTAGTGAAGGATTTAGGAAGTTTAGAGTGATTTCAATTCCTAATTTGCTTGAATAACATCATCTAACATTCCTTATCTATTTTGAATCTGTAACTAGAGCATCTCTAAGAAATATATCAACAAGTATTTGGGAGATGAGGTGCAGAGCATCTGTCTTGAGCGACTTGGCGAGAGGTGTCAAGTGTGGTTTGGACGCAAGCCTCAGGATAAAAGGATTGTAGGCGGATGGACAAAGTTTGTGAAAGCCAATGAGGTGGAGGTGGGTGATATCTGCCTCTTCGAGCTGCTGAAGCATCGGAAATTGTGCGCCATGAAAGTTCATATCATCCGCGCGAAGGACTTCAGTTGATCAAAATGCCATTGTCTGATTTATCTTGAGGTGGTGTGTAGTCCCTTTTGTGCTGTTAGGATGTAGTACTACCTCCCGTAACAAAATACTTGTCGTGATTTTAGTTCAAATTTGAAGTAACACCACAACAAGTATTTTGGAACGGATGGAGTAGTAGGTTACTCTGTTTATGCCTATCTGTCCTTGTTATTTTGCTACCATGGACACATGTTGGGGAACATGTGAGTACTATATTTTATTATATATCTTCCTTCGAAACAAATGTTTTATCCTTCTGTGCATACTCTGCTAGTGCTACGTGGCATTTGTTATGTTATTTTCTTTCCAAGAACTAGTAAGTTTTTTGTTTTGTTTTGAGAACTAGGTTTTTGTTTTTGAGAACTAGGTAGTGCATTTGTTATCTGGGGTGATCGCATACCATCACAGGCCCTTGGCCCAAGCCCACAAGAGGTGCCACTAGAGCTATTTAGGAGCAGGCAGCAGCCTCTGCCTAGTTGTGTAACCATGTTTGGTTTGCTGTTTCCTTTTAAAGATTAGATTATATAATATTTCCATTTTGTTAGGTTTCATTTTGGAGTTGTTTATTTTTCTTTTTGTGTCGTCTTTTACATAAGGTTAGTGGCTATCTGGTGGAGTTATTGTCATGAGGCATGCACCCTCGGGTTTTCTTTTCACTTTATTTCCCGGTTGATGTTGCCCGGTTGCTGGATTTTGCCGTCCTAATAATATATGGTTGTGTGCATTGAGGCCGGGAGTTATCCTCCTTTTCAAAAAAAAAGGTTTCATCTAATAAGAGTCTTGTACATTTCCTCTAAAAAGAGTCTTGTAGATAGCTATATGATGCCACCCCTAGACCCTAATTCATTATCAACCAAGCAACAATGTATCTCTTCCCTGACTATTCTCCTACCCTGAGGATCGATTCCCTGACTATTCTCCTACCCTGAGGATTGATTCACCATCTATTCTCCTACCCTGAGAATCGACACCCCTGAGTGCCATGGCTACAAACTCCAATCGATGATTGATAGATCTGCGAGACGGGGCGACAGGACCATAGATCATGGACCATTGATCGTCACCGCGGACCATTGATCGTCACCGCGAGCTCCCAAGACACTAACGGGTTTGGATATGCAATCTGAGTAGGCATCTGGCCTTTTCACACTAACCACCACACGGGAATAAGTATGGGCACTCGACGTCGTACGATTCTCCGAAAGCTCTTTGGACGTCAGCGATTGAGTGGCGCGTGCCCGGTTGGACGAGAACCACCTGCGCTTATATTAGGGGGTGGGTCTGCTCCTGGCCGCGTACGCAACGCGTAGGAGTGCAAAGAGCGATGGGCCCAAGACCCCCGAGCTCTTAGGATGTAGACCAGCGTGTTGGCCTATCTGTTGAGACTAGGTAGGACTACGGTGTGTCTATCAGCCGAGGTCGGGCATGACCTGGAAAAGTATGTTCGGGCAAAGCTAATCGAGCGTGTTGGGTAAGTTGGCGCACCCCTGCAGGGAAGTTTATCTATTCAGACGTGTCCACATTAACGGACGCTCGGAGTTGTATCCCGATCTATTACAACTAGAACTGGATACTGGAGACACTAAATGGATATGATGGCTCCGGGATCGTTTTCTCGCAGGGAGTCAAGGAAGGATCTCTGAGCGTTGATACTACAACATACTTATTACTTATCTTATGTTGCTCTACTCTCTTCTATTGTTGCAAGATGCTAGTCTTCGATGGGCTAGGCCTTCCCTCTATTCTGACATTTCTGCAGTCTAGTTAAAAAATATAGCCCCATTTCTTTGATACGATGCATACTTAGCATAGATCAGATGTAAGTCTTGCGAGTACTTTGGATGAGTACTCACAGTTGCTTTGCTACCTCTTTTCCCCTCTACCTGATTACTGCTATCAGGTGACGGAATCTAGGAGCCAATTGATCCCATGGGCGACTACTACTACCACAATGGAGCCTACTACTATGTGGAGACCGTCGATGACCAGGAGTAGTTAGGAGGCTCCCAGGCAGGAGGCCTACGCCTTTTCAATCCATGTTGTCGTTGTTTTGCTAGCCTTCTTAAGGCAGACTTGTTTACTTATGTCGGTACTCATATATTATTGCTTTCGTTGACTCTTGTGTATTCGATCCCTCGAGGCCCCTGGCTTGTGATATAAAGTTTGTATTATTTTAATTTGTGCCTAGAGTTGTGTTGGAATATCTTCCCGTGAGTCTCTGATCTTGACCGTGCGCATTTGTGTATATGATTAGTGCATGATTAAGTCGGAGAATCGCATGCTTGCACACACAGATCGGTAAAATAGGTGAGGCATACTGTCAACGATGTGGTTGTTAAAACTAAAACATGTGATATCCTCATTGAGGCCCTGCAGGAAACCTTTAAGAATCTGCGTGCCTTCAACATCAAGTTGAATCCGAACACGTGTGTCTTCGGCGTACCGGCCGACAAGCTATTGGGGTTCATCGTCTCCTGAAGCAGAATTGAAGCTAATCCAGACTAGATTAAGACGCTCTTGAAGCTCGATGTTCCGACCAAGTTGTAGTAAATCCAAAGGCTGGGCAAATGTGTTTCTTCCATGAGCCGGTTTATCTTGAGGCTCGGGAAAAAGGCACCCCCTTATATTGGCTGCTGAGGAAGACAAACAAGTTTGTCTAGACCGACAAGGTGGGAGCAACCTTGGAGGAAATAAAGACATTGCTGGCTACCAACCCTATCCTTCCAATACCCTAGATTGGCGAGTCAATGATATTATACATCTCGGCCACTTATCAAGTGACTAGTGTTGTCCTGGTGCTTTACCGCGGGGAGGAAGATCATGCTATTGTTCGATCATAACTAGGTCGTGCAAGACGAGGTACCCTCATTGCCAGAAGATCGCTTAGGCGACATTCATGGCATCTCAAAAGTTCTGGCACTATTTTCAAGAATGCTCCATTACAGTTGAAATGAGGTTTCTGTGTCAGATATCATCAACAATAGGGACGCCACAGGCCGGATCGTGAAGTGGACAATTGAGCTGCTACCTTTTGAGATTCTGTACCAGCCTTGCCGGACCATAAAGTCACATGTCCTGACTAACATAGTGGACGAAAACCCAGCAACCAGAACAACCCATTGATTATACGCATTGCATACTCGATCTAATAATGTTGCCGAGTATGAAGCCCTCCTACACGGTCTTTGCATCACTACTAGGAAAAGGGCTATAGATGATATGGTCACTAATGGCGCACCAGACATGTGGTGCACCACTACTATATAGCAATGGCGCATCATGTGTTGGTGTGCCATTAGTGTGAAAGACACTAATGGCGCACCAGACCCATGGTGCACCACTAGTAACAATTTTTTTTCCAAAAATACTAATGGCGCATCAGGGCACAATGCGCCATTACTAGGTTTAACTAGTAATGGCGCACCAGCCACACAGTGCGCCACTGCTATTTTTTTTTGCAAAACTACTAATGGCGCACCACCAGCTGGTGCGCCATTAGTAACCAGGGACCAGCTAGATATTTTGGACAACCACACCTACACACTCACTTTCCCCACTTCATTCTCTCCACCTCCTCCTCCAAGCTTGTCTCGGCTGCCTCCTCCTCCTCACCTCATTTGCACCATAGATTCATCCAAATTAAGTGGTTAAATTACCTTTTTTTGATAGGTAAGTAAGGGGAAAGCTATCTTTATGTTGTAGATCTACTTTTTTTTCTCCCTCCAACAACGCGCACATGCACTTTTTATGGCCTAGCTAGATCTATGTATGTTTGTGGTATTGCATATGTTTGTGGTGTTGCATATATGTTTGTGTTTGCAGGTACCGGTATTTGAAATGTGATAGTTGCCAATATTTTGCCGGAATGTTGATTCATTTCCGTTTCAGCAAGAATTTTGGCACTATGCATTCTTTTTGGTCCTATTTTTAGGCAAAGTCATGCCAAATTTTTTATTGGTTTTAAAATATCGTTTTGCTCTACCCCGCAGGCGACCATGGTCTGCACGATGACCGAAGGCATCGTGAATAGGTTTTTGAGCTCCGCGAAGGCCGAGATGCTTCAAAAGAATGAGACGGAGATAAGATGTCAATGTCGAAGATGCAAGCTGAGGAGCCTTGTGGACCCGAATTCCGTACAGGTGCGGGACCACCTGCTCTTGCGTGGTTTCATGGATGGCTATCGGTGGCAAGGTGATGAAGATGATTATGAAGTCGTCCATGGGGGCCGGGCAAGAAATGAGGAAGGGCAACAAGACAACCGCGGTGAGGGCGGGCGAGAAGACGAAGAATCTCCAAGACATGATCACGAAGTAGATGCAGTACACAGTCATCATGTAGAAGATGTCGGACATGATGTTGAGGAAGATGTCGGAGCAAACGAAGGACATGATCATGAAGATGAAGATGCCGGAGCAGACGACGATGGACCATCGATGGGCTATGTCGATGTCAAAACCGGCGGATCTCGGGTAGGGGGTCCCGAACTATGCGTCTAGGCGGATGGTAACAGGAGACAAGGGACACGATGTTTTTACCCAGGTTTGGGCCCTCTCGATGGAGGTAAAACCCTACTCCTGCTTGATTAATATTGATGATATGGGTAGTACAAGAGTAGATCTACCACGAGAGCGGAGTGGCTAAACCCTAGAAGCTAGCCTATGGTATGATTATTGTTCATCCTATGGACTAAAACTCTCTGGTTTATATAGACACCGGAGAGGGCTAGGGTTACACAGAGTCGGTTACAATGGGAGGAGATCTTCATATCGTATCGCCAAGCTTGCCTTCCACGCCAAGGAAAGTTCCATCCGGACACGGGACGGGGTCTTCAATCTTGTATCTTCATAGTCCGAGAGTCTGGCCAAAGGTCTTAGTCCGGCCATCCGGACACCCCCTAATCCGGGACTCCCTCAGTAGCCCCCGAACCAGGCTTCAATGACGACGAGTCCGGCGCGCAAGTTGTCTTCGGCATTGCAAGGCGG